CATCAAAAGGAGCGATCGTCTGCTAATTAGCGCCGTGATCAACATACTGGCGTCTGAAGTTAAATATTTATGAAATTTTTTATGTCTTGTAATTTCCTCTCGTTTTACAGAGGGTGTGTGTGGGGGGGGGGGGGGGGGGGAGAGAGAAAAAGACCATGGGTGGTAGTGTGTGTGTGTGGTAAAAGGGGAGGGGGGGTTAATTAGATGTGTGATGCCTAGCGACGGTAAATGATCGTTCGTTAAGTGAAACAAGGGTGGGATAAGGGTGTGTGTGTGAGTGGGGGGGGGGGGAGGGTCAGGATTTTATGACGATGTGGTACATGGAGGTGGGAGGGTGTGGAGTGGGGTGTGTGTGTGGGGGGGGGGTTCAGAATTTTGTGACGATGTGGTACATGGTGATGGGAGGGGTGGGGATTGGGGGTTTCAGATTGGTTTGCGATGTGCTTCATAACGGAGAAAAAAAGGGGGGGGGGGGTCAGAATTTTGTAACTATACGGGGGATAATCTGGTCAGCACTGTGACGCTTGACTTTCCCAAACGTGAGTCAGGTACTTACCAGAGCTGAGTGGACTCAGGGGTATCCTACAGACTCGAGCCCAGGGTCCGAACTAGCGACTTTTAATTTAGCAATCGTAAGCTGAAAGTTATTCGATCTGCTCCAATTTACATAATGTTCATTAAGAGTCGCATACAAAAGGAACATATTCTAAACACTAACACGTAATCAAACGGGGGTGGGGGGGGGGGGGGTCGGACAGACACATATTGAACAGCCGAAATGTCATTAGTTGCGATGTAATCTAGCTTCTATTCTAAACTAAACAATTAAAAAGCGATTTCCGCCATTGCGTGTAACATCTGCGTTCATTGTTCACCAGATTAAACACGTAGTTTTAGCTAACAATTGGAATTGGGAGGCTACACGCCCTGTTGGCAGGCGCTCATATCTCTCCAGGAGAGGGGGGTGTGGGGGTTCTTTTAGATATCTCTCCAGGAGAGGGGTGGGGGGGGCACACCTCCTGGCCACCTGAAAAAGTAGGAATTTTTTTTTTACATTTATATAGGAAGTTTATACTTTAGCCAATACCCCACCTTCCTCCCAAAAATGTCTGAAAGAAACCCTGTTCATTGGGGATAGAATAGGTACTTGATAGAATAGGTACTTGACAGATTGACAGGTAATGGGATATTGGCAGGGCTTTATGGGTAACTCAGGTTTGGTGTGTTGGGACTGTTTATATTTTTGACTAGGGGACAGCGTTGTCTGAAAGACTTAAGTTCGAAACAGTACTAAATTAAACAATTTTAGAATATTAATATCATACTCTAAATGCACTAAAATATGTAAGTAAAATAAACCTTTTGTTTAGTTGACAAGTGCTTCTACTCATTTGTCCCCTCCAACACAATTAAGTATAACATGGCAACATGTTATGCAACATATGGCAACATGTTATGCACCATATGGCAACATGTTATGCACCATACGCAACATGTTATGCACCCAGATGCGAAGCGACCCTTCCCGGCGCCCGGGGACAATCTTTTCGATTTGCACCCCCCCCCCCCCCTCAAACTTTCGATTTGCACCCCCCCCCCTCAAACTTTCGATTTGCACCCCCCTCAACCTTTCAATTTATTTTTCCAACCCATTTTGGCGCCCCCTAAGGTCGGCGCCCGGGGACATATGTCCCCCCCGCTACTGTATGCACCATATGGCAACATGCTTTGTACCATAAGCAACATGTTATGCACCATACGCAACATGCTTTGTACCATACGCAACATGTTATGCACCATATGGCAACATGCTTTGTACCATACGCAACATGTTATGCACCATACGCAACATGTTATGCACCATATGGCAACATGTTATGCACCATACGCAACATGTTATGCACCATATGATGCACCATATGGCAACATGTTATGCACCATACACAACATGTTATGCACCATACGCAACATGTTATGCACCATATGGCAACATTGTCGATTTGCACCCCCCCCCCCTCAAACTTTCGATTTGCACCCCCCTCAAACTTTCAATTTGCACCCCCCTCAACCTTTCAATTTATTTTTTTTAACCCATTTTGGCGCCCCCTAAGGTCGGCGTCCGGGGACATATGTCCCCCCCCCCCCCGCTACTGTATGCACCATATGGCAACATGCTTTGTACCATACGCAACATGTTATGCACCATATGGCAACATGTTATGTACCATACGCAACATGTTATGTACCATACGCATGTTATGTACCATACGCAACATGTTATGTACCATACACATGTTATGTACCATACGCAACATGTTATGCACCATATGGCAACATGTTATGTACCATACGCAGCATGTTATGCACCATATAGCTGTTGACTCTGTCTTGACCCAGCTTTTTATTGTCAACCCAAAAATAAACTACAAGGCAGCAGTTTGATTTTGGAGTTGTCTCTCCTAGGTGGGTTGCTGTCCCCAGCTATCAAGCCCCTTTTTTTTGGGGGTTTGAACTTGGGACTTTTCAGTATACCATCCATAAGCTTTACTGGCCCGACCATGCGGACCCCTTCTATGTGTCTTGAAAACTAAAATTATACAATCTTAAAATTTTTATGAAATAGATACATAAGTTTGAGACTCCAACTCACCCCCCCCCCCTCACACATCCAGCCAACACCAAAGTAGCTTGCATGTCTGAGTAAGAAAAAAGACAACACTACATACATTAAAAATTAATGCAACAAACAGCTTAGTTGTGTGGTAAAATTATTTCATATGTAATGTCAGGTTGTTTATGATTGTAACTCCTCCAGTAAACTTGATTTTGTGACTTTTCTTTTTGGCCCATCTGAAACAAAATTGATTTTCTTTATCCAGTCATTTTGATTATCTTTTTCAGTTAGGACTATTTGCTTCATACTTTGATAGGGGCAATAACCATCATAACAGTAAAAAAATCACAACACTGACCATACACCTACCATCATTAAACCTACCACCCACTTACCATCATGAAACTGACCATCCAACTACCATCCACAAAACCATCCAACTACCATTACAAAACTGACCATCCACCTACCAGCACTTAACCTACCATCCACTTACCATCACCAAACCTACCATCCACTTACCATCACCAAACCTACCATCCACTTACCATCACTAAACCTACCATCACTAAACCTGACCAACCACCTACCAGCACTAAAACCTACCATCCACTTGACATCACTAAACCTACCATCAACCTACCATCACTAAACCTTACCTCCACTTACCACCACTAAACCTACCATCACTAAACTGACCAACCACCTACCAGCACTAAAACCTACCATCCACTTGACATCACTAAACCTACCATCCACCTACCATCACCAAACTTACCATCACTAAACCTACCATCCACCTACCATCACTAAAATGCTGGGCAGTTTTCCTCCTGAGGTCGTCCAGGCTCTCCTCCACCTCTGCCCACTCCAGAACCAGGCGACGCCCGTAAAGATGAGTAGAATGACAGAGGGCGCTGAAAGCTCTCTGTAATGTAATAGTAGAATACAGAGGTGTAATATAGGTGTAATGTAATTGTAGAATACAGAGGTGTAATATAGGTGTAATGCAATTGTAGAATACAGAGGTGTAATATAGGTGTAATGCAATTGTAGAATACAGAGGTGTAATATAGGTGTAATGCAATTGTAGAATACAGAGGTGTAATATAGGTGTCTTGCAATTGTTGAATACAGAGGTGTAATATAGGTGTAATGCAATTGTAGAATACAGAGGTGTAATGCAATTGTAGAATACAGAGGTGTAATATAGGTGTAATGCAATTGTAGAATACAGAGGTGTAATATAGGTGTAATGCAATTGAAGAATACAGAGGTGTATTATAGGTGTAATGCAATTGTAGAATACAGAGGTGTAATATAGGTGTAATGCAATTGTAGAATACAGAGGTGTAATATAGGTGTAATGCAATTGTAGAATACAGAGGTGTAATAATATAGGTGTAATGCAATGTAGAATACAGAGGTGTAATATAAGTGTAATGCAATTGTAGAATACAGAGGTGTAATATAGGTGTAATGCAATTGTAGAATACAGAGGTGTAGTATAGTGGTAATGCAATTGTAGAATACAGAGGTGTAATATAGTTGTAATGCAATTGTAGAATACAGAGGTGTAATATATGTATGTAGGGCTGTTGTATAATACAACTGTGTGATATAGGTGTTTAATAATAAATATGTAGAGTGCGTATAATAGAGATGTGCTATATGGGTGTGTTGTGCTGGCGTGTAAAAAAACAATTAAAGGCAGACAATGATGCTGTTGTCTGAGAGAACTGCCAATCAAGCAATCAGCCCGCCTACCTTGGCATCTTCCTTAGTGACAAAGTCAACAAAAGCAAAGCCCCTGTGTGGGCCTGTCCCTCCCAGTTTCTTGGGCAGACGTACAAACTTCAGTTCACCAAACACCCTGCAAAACATGGGTACAAACATGGTTTAGAAAAACATTGGGTACATACATCTTTACAAACTTGGGCTACAAACATGAATACAAACATCTTTATAAAAATGGTTAGAAATACACATTGGGTACAAACATCTTTACAAACATGTATCAACTTATCCAAACATATTTTATGCATGTATAAACATATGTACAAAATGTACAAATTAAAAAAAAAAATCACAAGTACAAATGTTACAAAGATGGTTAATTATGAACACAAACATTTGTACAAAAATGTACCAACACAATCACTACATTGGTACATTGAGGAGTACCATTACAGCTAGGTTGAGGAAATAACATATATAAATATCATATCAAATTTGTAGTTCTGTATCAACTTTTCAGTGATTTCTGGTAACAGGAAGTGAAACTTATTCTACTTTTAGTTTTTCAAAAGCCTATAACTTGAGTAGCCTACTGTTTATGACTGGTAAACACAACTTCACATTCATATAAATAAAAGATATAATTCTCTTTTTTCTATCAAAGTTTTGAGTCATTACTGGTGACTGATAGTAGTACTTTATGCTATTTCCGATTTCTAAAAAGAAAAAGAAAAAAAAACGCATATAAAATTTATTTTTAACTTGATTCCTCTGTGTATCGTCTGTCATACTCTTCTACCGGACCGGACTTTTTACATAGGTCAAGACTTGAAGATATATATTGTAACATAAAACAATACTTAATTAGATTATTTTTTTCACTCTTGGAAAATTAATATGTTTTTCTTTTCAAAGTACTAATGTTCCACACTATTATACACACATCATTTGCAGTTCATTTAGTGCGTAATTCTTTTTTCTACTAGATTCTACTTAAAAAATGTAAACATTTATAAATTGATTAAACATGATATCTATATACCTAGTTGCCATCCCCCTAGTGTTTATTTAACTTCCCAGTAGCGTAATGGAGGCAATATTCTCCATACTGATGTGTTATGTTAAAGGAAATGGATTGCAGCAAGAATTGTTTAGCATCTGTGTTGGCTACTTCCCATGTATAGTATACAAAATAACTAGGGGAGTTAACCTATGTTTTTTTCCCAACAAAACTGTTTAAAAATACTGACAAACTTACTAAAGAAGAAAAAAAATGGAAATTGTTGTTTATTGACCATGAGTGTTATGCTTATTACATGATGGTATTAACCTTTGTACTTCATAAAACATACAATTATTATTTGACTCTAGTCGAATTAGAAAACTATCAGCTGTGTAAAACTTCTATTTGTTGACATCAGAAAGTTCAAGTTTCATGAATTTGCTGGTTGGAACCGACTTGTTGAACACAAAAGTTTATGTAAAATCTCTCTAGATTTTAAAAATGCAGCTAGATTTTAATTTGATTGGGTGATGTAATTAACTTGTAGTTTTTAAATGCAGCTAGACCAAAAAAAAAGTTAATTTGATATCATTATTATTACCATTGCAAAGCAAAGAGCCACCTAGCACACCCCCCTCTCACCTTATATCAGCTCCATTTATGTTTCACTTTACCCAGACAATAAACCAATTCACTTTAATTCTACCTTTTTCAACAATGATTACTTTATCATTGATTTAGTATCAGCATGTCCAGTGTGGGCTACATACTCAGATCACATATATTTGGGGGTTTTCAAATGGAGGCACAGGGACAATGAGATTGTAAACTCTTGCAGTAGGTGAGGCCACAAGCCAAAGTTACCACAGAGTGACTTCTGTGAGAGATGCTTTGAATTTGAAGCATGTTTACAGCCAGAGAACTTTGATTGCTATGCCACTTACAGCTAGAGAACTTTGATTGCTATGCCACTTACAGCCAGAGAACTTTGTTTGCTATGCCACTTACAGTTAGAGAACTTTGACTGCTATGCCACTTACAGCCAGAGAACTTTGATTGCTATGCCACTTACACCTAGAGAACTTTGATTGCTATGCCACTTACAGTAAGAGAACTTTGATTGCTATGCCACTTACAGTTAGAGAACTTTGATTGCTAGGCCACTTACAGCTAGAGAACTTTGATTGCTATGCCACTTACAGCTAGAGAACTTTGATTGCTATGCCACTTACACCTAGAGAACTTTGATTGCTATGCCACTTACAGCTAGAGAACTTTGATTGCTATGCCACTTACAGCCAGAGAACTTTGTTTGCTATGCCACTTACAGTTAGAGAACTTTGACTGTTATGCCACTTACAGCCAGAGAACTTTGATTGCTATGCCACTTACACCTAGAGAACTTTGATTGCTATGCCACTTACAGCCAGAGAACTTTGATTGCTATGCCACTTACAGCTAGAGAACTTTGATTGCTATGCCACTCACTTGAATAACTCTTCAATTTCTTTTTTCTTGGCTTCAAATGGAATATTCCTGACCAAAATTTTGGTGGATTTCTGTTTGGTTTCTGCCTGTTTCTGACGACCTGTGACCTGACTGGGGAAAGGTTAAATATAGTTCAAAGGTTAAATGTCATTCACTTGACAAAATAAACCAATGCAATATCACTTGATAATTGACTTATGTACAATATAAAAAAAAACACGCACACAATAAATAAACAAACTATATGAATAAATACATGGGTAGTGTAAATAAATATTTAAAATTTATAGCAATACAGTAAATTAACATACAAACACTATAAAAACTAGTATAAAAAATAAGTAAACACCCAACCACTACTAAAACAACACACAGACACATAAACATACAAACAACATATAAAATAGGGTCCACTCACTGTGACGTCCTGTTTGAGATCTTTAGTTCCAGATTGTGACCATCCAACATCGAGTTCTGTAGCTGTTTCAAGGCTTCTTTCGCGTCTGTTTTCTTCATGAACTGAACAAAACCATAGCCCATGGACAGGAGTTCACCTGAACAAATTCAATGAAAAAATCATTTTTAGTCAGAGTCAGATACCGTAGATGTGTTGATAAATAAAAACACGCATAACAAATTGGACAGTAAAGTGGAGACCTAAACAGTAAATTGGACCATAATGATTTGGTCTAAATAATTAGTCTATTGTATAAAGGTTTGAACTTTGATGAAAACAGTAACAATCAAATTGGACAAAACATTTTTTTACAATGATGATAACAGTATATTGGACAATATAGATATTATCTAAAATGATAACAGCATATTGGACAATATAGATATTATCTAAAATGATAACAGCATATTGGACAATATAGATATTATCTAAAATGATAACAGCATATTGGACAATATAGATATGGTCTAAAATGATAACAGTATATTGGACAATATAGATATGGTCTAAAATGATAACAGTATATTGGACAATACAGATATGGTCTAAAATGATAACAGAATATTGGACAATATAGATATGGTCTAAAATGATAACAGTATATTGGACAATATAGATATGGTCTAAAATGATAACAGTATATTGGACAATATAGATATTATCTAAAATGATAACAGTATATTGGACAATATAGATATGGTCTAAAATGATAACAGTATATTGGACAATATAGATATGGTCTAATATGATAACAGCATATTGGACAATATAGATATGGTCTAAAATGATAACAGTATATTGGACAATATAGATATGGTCTAAAATGTTAACAGTAAATTGGCCAATTTGGATGTGGCCTAAAAAGATGATAATTTAATTGGACAAAAAAAAGATGATAACAGTAAAATGGACAATAGAGATGAGGTGTAAAAGTTGATAGCATGAAGTAAATAGAACAAACAAACCTGGCTTTTTGGCATCTTTTTTCTTAGACACTGTGGCTGAATAAATGTTGCCTATTGCTTTGAAATGCTGAGAAAAAATTGTAAAACAAACTTCAATTATTGTTCCTATGTTAATTGAACGGATAAAAAACTTTAGTCCACAAACCTGAGACAAAATAGCTGGTAAAAGAAAAGGGAACATATTTTTGAATGACCGGCCATAAAAAAATAATTAAAGATTATATCAACAATTAAACTTTGAAAAGTTTGTTATGAGAACTCACCTCTAATAGCTGTTCATCTGTTGTGGAGAAGTTCAAGTTTTTAACAAAAATAGTGGCCTCCTCTTCAGGAACTTCCTCATCATTAGCTTTCTGGAAGAAATTAGTTGGACGATATTAGTTTGATGGTAAATATTTATTTGTTAACGTCAAAATAGTTATAAAACTGGTAACATAAATATTAATAAAAATAACACACAAAAACAGGAATTAAATTTAAATTAAAAATGATTAATTATCATGTTGACGAATTCAATGCAGGGACTAGAAATATGAGTAAGGTTTGGTTTTATGTACATGTGATGAGCAATATTCCCTCTAAGGGGGAAAAGCTAGTGTGCAAAATTTATTTTTTGTGTGCGCTGTTCTAAAAGTCTTATACAAGGATATATTTATTTTACAAAATCACTGCGCAGCAGCTCAAAACTATTGTGCGGCAGCGCAGCTAAGAGGGAACATTGGTGATGAGATATGCTAGTTATAAAAATATGCATAGATGAAAAGATGAGGTAGAATCAGGAACATCCCACACTCACCTCACCCAGAGAACTAAAACTGTGATTTACCTCTTCTGTTTTCTCCTCCTGACTAGACGTGGCTTTCTTTTCTTCCTCCCTGCCACCCTCCTCTGAGTTGTCTTCTTTCTTCTCCTGACTGGGCGCTGCAGGTTTGACAAATACAGTCATGGGGGCCCACTCCAGGTAGAGGGGAATGGAGCGAAACTGAAATACAGAGAAATGGGGATGAGGTTTGCATCAAGATTGGTTGGGTAATGGAGACAACATAAGCATTATAGTTTCAAGCACTATGGACTATCCAGACATTAAATGTACAGAATAGCTTTAATTGACTGGCTAATGGAGACAACATAAGCACTATAGTTTCTAGCACTATGGACTACCATGACATTAAATGTACAGAATACCGCTGGTTAATGGAGACAACATAAGCACTATAGTATCTAGCACTATAGACTACCATGACATTAAATGTACAGAATAGCTTTAATTAACTGGCTAATGGAGACAACCTAAAAGCTATAAACTAGCCTGACATTAAATGTACAGATTAGCTTTAATTAATTGGCTAATGGAGACAACATAAGCACTATAGTTTCTGGCACTATAGACTAGCCTGACATTAAATATACAGTTTCTAGCTTACATGACTAGTGAAACACCAAATGAACACTTTTGAAGAGCAGATTTAAAATTTACCAACAAAGTGACTTGTACAAAAGCTTGTGTTACATGTCATTTTCATATTCTCAACAGCTATTGTCAGACATAGCTACACAGAGTTTAGGCAGCTATTGTCTACCATAGCTACACAGACTTACAACAGCTATTGTCTGCCATAGCTACACAGACTTACAACAGCTATTGTCTACTATAGCTACACAGACTTACAACAGCTATTGTCTGCCATAGCTACACAGAGTTTAGGCAGCTATTGTCTACCATAGCTACACAGACTTACAACAGCTATTGTCTGCCATAGCTACACAGACTTACAACAGCTATTGTCTACCATAGCTACACAGACTTACAACAGCTATTGTCTGCCATAGCTACACAGACTTACAACAGCTATTGTCTGCCATAGCTAAAAAGACTTACAACAGCTAAGAAGTACAGTTCTCACCTTGGAGAAGTTGAGCTTCATGAACAAATGTCTGCCATAGCTACACAGACTTACAACAGCTAAGAAGTACAGTTCTCACCTTGGAGAAGTTGAGCTTCATGAACAAATGTCTGCCATAGCTACACAGACTTACAACAGCTATTGTCTGCCATAGCTACACAGACAACAACAGCTGAGCTGTTATTGTCTGCAGTAGCTAACATGCTTTAAACAGCTATGAGTACAGTTCTCACCTTGGAGAAGTTGAGCTTCATGAAACCTTGTCTGGCCTCTGATGGCTCCAGGTACTCAACAATGGCCGTGATGCCGGTGGGGGGCAGGACGACGCGGTTCACTGACCCGTACTTGTTGAATATGTCTCTCAGTTCATCCGTGGTCACCCCCAGGGGCAAGTTTTTCACCAGGATGACCGTCTTGCTTCTGGCCCCTGCGGCCTGGTATAGAGAGACAAAAGTTCAATGGTTATGGACAGGTGGTGGTGGGTTGATAAAGCAGGTTGTGGAGTTTGTTGTATTGGGGGAGAGTCAGTATCAGGAAGTTGTTGATGGTAGCTGTCTTAGTTACTTGACTTGACGGAAACTATTGGAGCTATTGACATGAATAAAGTTGTCTTTAAAGCTACTGACCTGACTGTCTAGAGCTACTGACCTGGCTGTCTAGAGCTACTGACCTGACTAAAGCTATCTAAAGCTACTGACCTGACTAAAGCTGTCTAGAGCTACTGACCTGACTAAAGCTGTCTAGAGCTACTGACCTGACTAAAGCTGTCTAGAGCTACTGACCTGACTGTCTAGAGCTACTGACCTGACTGTCTAGAGCCACTGACCTGACTGTCTAGAGCTACTGACCTGACTGTCTAGAGCTACTGACCTGACTGTCTAGAGCTACTGACCTGACTGTCTAGAGCCACTGACCTGACTGTCTAGAGCTACTGACCTGACTGTCTAGAGCTACTGACCTGACTGTCTAGAGCTACTGACCTGACTGTCTAGAGCTACTGACCTGACTGTCTAGAGCTACTGACCTGACTGTCTAGAGCTACTGACCTGACTGTCTAGAGCTACTGACCTGACTGTCTAGAGCTACTGACCTGACTGTCTAGAAGCACTGACCTGACTGTCTAGAGCTACTGACCTGACTGTCTAGAGCTACTGACCTGACTGTCTAGAGCTACTGACCTGACTGTCTAGAGCTACTGACCTGACTGTCTAGAGCTACTGACCTGACTGTCTAGAGCCACTGACCTGACTGTCGAGAGCTACTGACCTGACTGTCTAGAGCTACTGACCTGACTGTCTAGAGCTACTGACCTGACTGTCTAGAGCTACTGACCTGACTGTCTAGAGCTACTGACCTGACTGTCTAGAGCTACTGACCTGACTGTCTAGAGCTACTGACCTGACTGTCTAGAGCTACTGACCTGACTGTCTAGAGCTACTGACCTGACTGTCTAGAGCTACTGACCTGACTGTCTAGAGCTACTGACCTGACTGTCTAGAGCTACTGACCTGACTGTCTAGAGCTACTGACCTGACTGTCTAGAGCTACTGACCTGACTGTCTAGAGCCTCTGACCTGTCTAGAGCTACTGACCTGACTGTCTAGAGCCACTGACCTGACTGTCTAGAGCTACTGACCTGACTGTCTAGAGCTACTGACCTGACTGTCTAGAGCTACTGACCTGACTGTCTAGAGCTACTGACCTGACTGTCTAGAGCTACTGACCTGACTGTCTAGAGCTACTGACCTGACTGTCTAGAGCTACTGACCTGACTGTCTAGAGCCACTGACCTGACTGTCTAGAGCTACTGACCTGACTGTCTAGAGCTACTGACCTGACTAAAGCTGTCTAGAGCTACTGACCTGACTGTCTAGAGCTACTGACCTGACTGTCTAGAGCTACTGACCTGACTAAAGCTGTCTAGAGCTACTGACCTGACTGTCTAGAGCTACTGACCTGACTGTCTAGAGCCACTGACCTGACTGTCTAGAGCTACTGACCTGACTGTCTAGAGCTACTAACCTGTTTAGAGCTACTGACCTGACTGTCTAGAGCTACTGACCTGACTGTCTAGAGCCACTGACCTGACTGTCTAGAGCTACTGACCTGACTGTCTAGAGCTACTGACCTGTCTAGAGCTACTGACCTGACTGTCTAGAGCCACTGACCTGACTGTCTAGAGCTACTGACCTGACTGTCTAGAGCTACTGACCTGACTGTCTAGAGCTACTGACCTGACTGTCTAGAGCTACTGACCTGACTAAAGCTGTCTAAAGCTACTGACCTGACTGTCTAGAGCTACTGACCTGACTGTCTAGAGCTACTGACCTGACTAAAGCTGTCTAGAGCCACTGACCTGACTGTCTAGAGCTACTGACCTGACTGTCTAGAGCTACTGACCTGACTGTCTAGAGCTACTGACCTGACTAAAGCTGTCTAGAGCTACTGACCTGACTGTCTAGAGCTACTGACCTGACTAAAGCTGTCTAGAGCTACTGACCTGACTGTCTAGAGCTACTGACCTGACTAAAGCTGTCTAGAGCTACTGACCTGACTGTCTAGAGCTACTGACCTGACTAAAGCTGTCTAGAGCTACTGACCTGACTGTCTAGAGCTACTGACCTGACTAAAGCTGTCTAGAGCTACTGACCTGACTGTCTAGAGCTACTGACCTGACTGTCTAGAGCTACTGACCTGACTAAAGCTGTCTAGAGCTACTGACCTGACTAAAGCTGTCTAGAGCCACTCCGTTAGAAATGAGAAATTCCCTGGTCTCGTTGATGATTTGTGTCTCACCCAAAGCCAGCCTGACTCCAACACTGCCTCTGGTGTCCTACAGGACATAAATATCATAATTATAAAAATGGTGTCATACAGGACATAAATATCATAATTATAAAAATGGTGTCATACAGGACATAAATATCATAATTATAAAAGTGGCATAAGACAGGCAAAGAATTAACCACAACAGTGTGGCATCTTGAAGAAAGACAAAATTACTTTCAAAGCGAGGTTCCACTATATAAATAAAACAGAGACTTACGTCATCTAGAATATTACTTTTGTCTGTGTGATACTTCTGTGCCATGGCATCAGCCACTGCGTTGGCGCCCAGGAACAGGGCGTTCCAGTTGTGTGAGCTGGAGAAATACATTGGTGAGGTCAGGGTGAGGAATATATTGGTGAGGTGAGGAATATATTGGTGAGGTGATGGATACATTGGTGAGGTGATGGATACATTGGTGAGGTGATGGATACATTGGTGAGGTGATGGATACATTGGTGAGGTGATGGATACATTGGTGAGGTGATGGATACAATGGTGAGGTGATGGATACATTGGTGAGGTGATGGATACATTGGTGAGGTGATGGATACATTGGTGAGGTGATGAATACATTGGTGAGGTGATGGATACATTGGTGAGGTGATGGATACATTGGTGAGGTGATGGATACATTGGTGAGGTGAGAACTACATTGGTGAGGTGATGGATACATTGGTGAGGTGAGAAATACATTGGCGAGGTAAGGAATATATTGGCGAGGTGAGGAATATATTGGCGAGGTGAGGAATATATTGGTGAGGTGAGGAATATATTGGTGAGGTGAGGAATACATTGGTGAGGTAAGGAATATATTGGTGAGGTCAGGAATATATTGGTGAGGTCAGGAATACATTGGTGAGGTAAGGAATATATTGGTGAGGTAAGGAATATATTGGTGAGGTGAGAAATACATTGGTGAGGTCAGGAATATATTGGTGAGGTCAGGAATATATTGGTGAGGTGGGGAATACATTGGTGAGGTGAGAACTACATTGGTGAGGTGAGATGTGTTTACAATTTCAATAAGGCAAAAAATGTATAGGTAAAGACTGATGGTTTAGAAAAACAAGTTCATTCAGCTAGTAATGTCAGTAATTTGAACCAGGCAAAATATTAGTGGCCAAACACTTGTGACATGAATAAATTAAATAATTCGATGTATTTTATGTGTAACAGTCACTTATTTTAACCAAGAAAATAATTAATGGCTAGCCACTAGTAAAAAAATAAAATTAAAGAATTCAGCATATAATGTCACAAATATTCATTCAGTATCTGTGTATCAGGGATGTGACCAGACCAAGAAAAAAAATTAGGAAATTTTCTTCGGATAATAACTCAATATGTTTTATCTACTTTTTATCGCGGTTAAGCAGCTTCATACTGTTACTGTACTAATTAATTGTTTAATGAAGTTAATATTTTAAATACAAGAAGTCTATGTTACTCTAAAATAACATTGAAAGTCTTGTCTAATTGCAATTTAATGTTTACCTTATAAACAACTTTTTTAAAAATTACAATGTAACAAAAGTAGCAATTAAGTTTTATTTTACCATCAAGCTAATTTAAACTGTACTAATCTAGTGTAGATTCTAGATGTAGGCCTACTCCTGTTTTCAATTTTTAAATAGGGGGCCTAATGCCTAATAATAATACATATTCTTTTAAAGATTGGATTGGTAAAAATATTTGTCTTCAACTGTAAAGACCCTAGATTAAGATAAAAAGTTAGAATTTGAAAGTTTTAGGTTCATGTGATGGAAAAATGAAATGGACCAGGTTAGCTTAAATTAGAAATGGTCTGACGTGTGAACCAAAGTTAATCATAATGATAGCCAAACCACATCGATATTTATGTTTTTTTTGGAATAGCTGTAAATTGTTAGGTGTCATCCACGTTTTTTTACGCTATTTACCTCCCCTCTCTACTACAAAAGCCAGACTCCCCCCCACAGTCTGAACGTATTTTTTCTTCCACAAACAAGACACGGTCGTAGTCACGTTGAGTTTAGTATTATTTTTTTAATCTGTAGGCCTACGCAGCATTCGTATTGCAGGAACAGCTATTTGAAATTGACTGTGACGTCATTTTTTTTTTTCCACAAGCAGTACCAAACACGTACTTGCGGTCAAGGTGAGGTCACAAGAACCACGTTACTACGAGGTGGGGCGGGTTAGTCCTCATAGTCACCTTTTGCAAGGATTTCAATTTTAATTTGAGATTGCGAAATAAAATAGAATCAGAGAGAAACTCTAGATTTAGGCGGGTTAAAATACCGATAGGTAAATTAGGCTATATCGATAGCTAGCTTACCAGGCTTAAGAGATGTAAGTTTCATTTGAATAACTGCATTATTTTAGATTACCTTTTCCCGTGTTTTTGATAATTAGTTAACTGAAAATAGCGGAAAATTTTGACTAAAAAAGTGTGCTTTGAAAAATTCGAAAGTCCGCCGAAATTCCGAATCTTAATCTACATTTAATCTTGATCTAGCACCGTCAGACCTAGCGCAATCGACCAATAGAAAAGAAATGCACATATTCGCGTGTCCGTTTGACCTAAGTACAGTAGTTGTCGATTTAAATACGAATAAGTGGAATGAGCATGTCGGCCCTTTCCGTAGAAGACATTTCCGTTTTTTTCCTAATTTTTAAAACTTCGTAAAAAATCGACAAAAAATGAAACTCGGCGGAAAAATTCGGCGAAAATTAAATCAGCGGAGGAAAATCGCAACTAAAACGGAAAAATCGGATTTCCGCTAAAATTCGGAAAAGTCACATCCCTGTGTGTATACTATAACAAGAAACTACAACTGATTTCATCTAACTGATCCAAATATTTTGCCTTACTTTATTCATACGTTCATACGTTATTCATATTACCATTGGATGATTAACAAAATGGTAAATAACAAGAATAAGTCAACAATTACTGTACCTTGCATTATTTGACTTTTGCTGCAAATCTTTCTTTTTTTTGTACGAAGATTTTTCTAAAATAAAGAAAAAAAAATTCACAAATTAAATTATACTTTGGAAATAAACGTGATGATTTTTTTACAGGAAATGCGTTTTTTACATGTTGTAGAGTACAGAATATGTTATACAATTTGATGGTCTGAGTTATTTTAGTAGCTGCAGTTCTTTTACTTTTTTTTAAGCTCCATTGCTTAAAACTTTCTAATCTACTTCAGTTTCTCCAGTTTTATGTACATAGTTTAAATTTTTAAAAAATGGGGACAACAACCTGTCTAAGAGAGAAACTCTGAAATTAATGAACTGCAATCTTGGGTGGTTTTTCCAGAATGTAAAAGACTTTGTGGCCATTGCCATGCCATGTGACCAAAATTTAGTTGCACCTATTGATGCTCACTTAGAAAGTTAACGGGCATATGGTGTATAGAATGTTGACATGTAATACTTGTTTATTTGGGAAGTATCCGCTTCAATGTTTTGATAAAGAATGGATTAAAAAACTCACTGGAGCTGCAACAAGGTGGCCCCATGGACACTAACCTGACCCATTCTAGCAGGTGACCCCCGCTCTAGTGGACACTAACCTGACCCCTGCCCTAGTGGACACTAACCTGACCCCTGCTCTAGTGGACACTAACCTGACCCATTCTAGCAGGTGACCCCTGCTCTAGTGGACACTAATCTGACCCCTGCCCTAGTGGACACTAACCTCACCCCTGCTCTAGTGGACACTAACCTGACCCCTGCTCTAGTGGACACTAACCTGACCCCTGCTCTAGTGGACACTAACCTGACCCCTGCTCTAGCGGACACTAACCTGACCCCTGCTCTAGCAGACACTAGCCTGACCCCTGCCCTAGTGGACACTAACCTGACCCCTGCTCTAGCGGACACTAACCTGACCCCTGCTCTAGTAGACACTAGCCTGACCCCTGCTCTAGCGGACACTAACCTGACCCCTGCTCTAGTGGACACCAACCTGACCCCTGCTCTAGCAGACACTAACTTGACCCCTGCTCTAGTGGACACTAACCTGACCCCTGCTCTAGTGGACACTAACCTGACCCCTGCTCTAGTGGACACTAACCTGACCCCTGCCCTAGTGGACACTAACCTGACCCCTGCTCTAGTGGACACTAACCTGACCCCTGCTCTAGTGGACACTAACCTGACCCCTGCTCTAGTGGACACTAACCTGACCCCTGCTCTAGTGGACACTAACCTGACCCCTGCCCTAGTGTACACTAACCTGACCCCTGCCCTAGTGTACACTAACCTGACCCCTGCCCTAGTGTACACAGTACACTAACCTGACCCTTGCCGTAATGTACACTAACCTGACCCCTGCTCTAGCAGACACTAACCTGAGGATTCACTCTCCTCCTTGACCTCCCTGCCGGGCAGGATGTGAAGCAGACGGCCATGTAAACTGGTGTAGTCCAGTTCTGTGAAGGCCTTGAGTGCATGTTCAGGGAACACAAACACAACATGTGCGAAACCTTTGACCTTTTTGGTGAGTGGGTCAACTGGAAGGACAACTTCTGTCAAAGGACCTGAAGACACACATACAAAATGTGTTGAAATATGTACATAAATGTTTAATGTTTTTAGTCTCTTTGGATGATTTCGACGTATTAGAAGTATTTTTATGTGACTGGATACATTTTATTTTATTTTTTAATAAATATTATTTCAAAATAATTATGTGTTGATTTCCATAGAACTTTGATACATTTTTAAAAATGTGTCAATTTGTATACATTACTTTAGATTTCGAGATGTCAATTTGGATGAATTTTATTATTAAAAAAATATTTGTGTTTAATTGGATTCATTTATTCACATTAAAAATTATGTTTCAGTATGGATTAACTTGATTACATTTTAAAATATTTTGTGAGTATTCGTGTGAACAGAATAATTTGACGTCACTGACCAAATTTCCCAAATAACTCTTCCAGTTCCTCCTCTGTCACACCAAACCAGAGATTGCGAACAAATAAACGACCAGACTGTGTGGAGAGGAAATAAGAGAAAGTATTTTTAAAAGTATTTCAACATTTAACTCGTTTTAAGGTACAAGTAATGCTAGACTGCATGGAGAGGAAATAAGAAGAATTATTTTAAAACTATTTCAATGTTTAACTCATTTTAAGGTGCAAGTTGAGTAGAAATCACCCCATTTGTTAGACTACATGGAGAGGAAATAAAAGAAATTATTTCAAAAGTATTTCAATGTTTAACTAATTTAAAAGGTACAACTAAAGCAGAAACCACCTCATTTGTTTCTATGCTAGCAGAATGTAAAGGACTTTGTGGCCAGTGCCATAATTTAGTTGCAACTAGTATCTTGCAAAGATGACCAGGCATAACTATTCAAAACACTCCAGCTGATAACATAAACAACTGCAAGCCCATACTGTTTAGTTTCCAGCAAGACACATCTTGTTATGCATCTATTTGTTACTTAATGACTAGTGATAGAACTCAAAAGAGTATCAGGGCTACTCACCTCTGCAATGCTCTCTACTTCTTGTAGGCTTGACTCTTTGGCCTGATGGAAAAAATAAGTTTGTTAGCCCAGAATAATTGTAAAATAAAAAAAACTTACTAAAAAAATGGATGGAAAGACAGAAAAAAATTACCGTCTTTTATTTAATATGACACTACTGTACAATAAATTAAAAAATTTAAGCGTTACTATGGAAATTTAAGTGTTTTTTATATACATATTCAGACAAAAGTATATGGTTTCCGACAAGGATTTTAAAATTATGCTATTAGGATAATGAACAATTCTAAAACATTTAACAATAAAAATTTCAAAATGATTTTCAAATGTTCAGAAAAAAATTCTAATATCAAAAAGAGTTTTGTAAACATTGGTAAACAAAAAAAAAAAGACTGCAGTTTTCTCAGTAATTAGACTGACCTTCAACTCCCAAGGGGGAGGGGCAGGTAACTTTGTCTCAGGTTCCAACTCCTCTGTTGATTTCTTTAAAAATACTTTTTTACCATCTGGAACATTAACACATGGACAATGTGACTGTAGTTAGTGGATGATTAGGTGAACCAAAACAACAGAGTAAAAGTTTAAGGAATACTAAAAACAAAATTTATCAGAACTTTTAATTTTCCGTTGCAGCTATAAAAATAATTTTAAGGAAGATTGAACAACTTAAAAAAATATTCTGCCAGCCCCTGGTATTAAGTCACTTACTTATAAAATTTTTGTTCCTTCCCATGGCGAGTTCCAGCTCTTTTTCTGATGGCAATTCAACATATGCCACACCTGAAAGTTAAAATTTGGAATTTTACAAAACAATATAAACATTTTATCAAATAAATGTTACAAAAAGAAAAATAATCGAAATCGATACAAATACACAAACAATAGTAAAAAAAATGTATAATTAAAACTAGATTTAACACATATTTTGGTCAAAGAAATGTCTTTTACTTATGTACATTTTAATATTGTTATATTTGTCAGAATAAGTGTATCACAGAGAACCTACCAATTGGTTTCTTCTGAGCATTTCTGGGAATTCTAACGGCTTTTAATTTGATTGGTTTGAAAAATTCTTTGATACTTTTCTGATGGAAAAAAAATATACAAACTTTATGAGTTCAAGCAGAAAGATAAAGTTCAGAATAAACAGGGGTGAAAAATCATATTCAGTCATTTTAAAAAATGTGTAACTCCAACTCATTTAGTATTATATTCTATATCAATACTTAAATGATAGAAAAAATCTTCATAATTAAACATTCAATGGAGATAAAATAGAATTTAACTTTAAACATTTTTTTAAACAACATTAATCAATTTTATTAAAAATAATCTATTTGCCGAACATACTGTACTGATTTTGTTTTAGACTATGTTTAGACATATCCACATATTAAAAATCTACATCTTTTAATATCAGCACAGCAGCTATGTTTATACCTACTCACCTCGGTGTAGAATCCTGAAAGTCCTTTCATCTTCAGTACGAACCCTGTGCGAGCTGGAGGTTTTTCTTCTTTAGCTGGAGTTTTCTCCTGGGAACATTAAAATAATAATAAAGGGTCAACTTAACAAAATAGAAATAACGCACATAAGAAACTAAAATTGTAAATATTCTACCTCTTCATTAGGTTTTTCAACAGGATTTGAGGTGGCCGCAGGTTTTTCAGCTGACTTTGTTGTTGATGATTGGCTGTTCTTCTGTAAGGAGTATTTGCTCCATACTTTAATCTTTGAGTCCCCTATATCTGTTGCTTTATCAACCTGGCATAAATATAGTCTGGTGTTAAAACAAAAACTAATGCAACCCATTTCAACCCTATAAAAGTAGTTAGGTTACAGATAGTTAGAAACGATAAAGATTTTGATCTGAATAAGAGATAATGTTGGCTGAAAAGACCAGAAGTCTAAGAGTCAAAAACCCACAGATTTATCAGCATGCAAAAATAAACAGCAAAAGGAGCAACATATCAAAAATGCTATTAGCTCTAAAATAGTAGAATATCACATTTTCAAACAACAGTGCAATAAAATTTTGTATAAAGACAAATATTTAAACATCTCTGAATTTTTTTTCAGGCCTTCTTAAAATTCAAACCATTTATTTTATTTACTGAAAGCATACCAGAATTTTAGTGGTTCGAATAAATGTTCCATTTAATTTTTTCTGCACAGCATCACCCTGGTCTGTACTGTTGAAGCCGACGAAGGCAAACTTTCTAAAAACTCCATCACGAGTGTACTTGAGGTTACAGTCTGTTACTTCTACATTGGGACAGATTTTCAAAATGTGTGCAACAAGACGATCTTTTGTTATCTGTAATTGTATAAATGTATTTTATTAGAAAATCTCCAGTTAATACAAGCTACTAATATAATTAATGTTTAACAATGTGTTGTTTTATTTTGAAATTGACAGAAACAATTTTAAACTCACACACTAGCATACCATCCTAGAAACATAAACTTTACTTTAACTCAATCCGTCCCATGAGCCGCAAGGTACGGCTCGACACCGATAGTGTTTGTTTCTTTTAACAAGTCATTTAACATGTAAAAAACCTACATTTTTAAAAATAACTCACAATTATCTTTATTTACTACTATAGACATTTCATTTCTGTTCATTTTGAGATATGATACATAAATCTGGTTAGATAAACATACGAGCTATAATTGTTTAAGTAGGTGAGGGGTGTGTAAAAAAATTGGGTCACGGAAATAATGTTGTCAGGAGGTGGAAACGCCTCTGGTATAGAAAGAGTTAAACTTCTGCTGTCTCTTAATTAATATTCATTACAAATAGGCATAATATTAGCTATTACTTTATTAATTAATTAGTTAGCAAATCTCACTAACAAGGGCGAGGCCCATTGCTAAACAAAATATGTCATATGAATATGGCTGACTATTTTTTCTTAATTTAAAAAACTGAAAATGGTAGGTAATTAATAGTAATTATCATCTGCTGAGGAAGGTTTTAATTAGTAGATCTAATTGGTAGGCATACAGTGTTTCCTTTTTGGTCCGTTTTTGCAGCTACTGAACCCCACCAACCAGTTTCATTTTGCAATGCACATTCACCAAAGAAAGTTCAAACCCGTCTTAATAAAATATTATTAATAATTAATTTGCCGTGAGTAAAAAAAAATGATCACACAAATTTTCGTAATACTCGAGTTCTTACATCTTTTGGTAACTGTTTAATTATTATACGTGAAGACATTCTTCAATCATTCAGGCAAATTCAAAGAACAACCAAAAGTATCGAGAATAAGTCGCATGTTTCTATTCACATTTATATTATTTGTGAATATATCAGGTGTGGTAAAATCTGTAGCAGTCTAAAACAAAGTTTATTAAAAAGCTGGAGAAGTCGAGCAGTAAAAAAGCTATCCCGTTTGTGAAACTGGTTCGCTATAACGAAAAAAAAAATATTATTAGGCATACAATTAATAAAATCACAATTTTAAATCATAAGCGTACAGTAAGATCTAAATTACGTTGATCTCAAACAATTGAAATAATGTCTTTGTCGATGCAAGAACAGAAAGAGGTAGTCAAACATATTACATAACAAATATCCTTATAGGCTTGGCTACTAGATCTAGTATCGTAAAAAACGCCATAGACCATGAATCATCAATATTCAGTACAGCTGTAAAACTGTAAAAGAAATACTTATAATTATTTACAAAAGCGTTTTATTTAATTTAAACACCCGTTACTAATAATGGCCAACAGATATTAAGGGACCTAACTCTTTTTATATTAGTTATGAAATTCGTATTACTCAGTTTTGTCCCCTGATTAAGTAAAAAACATCTACAAGGTTTATTGAATGCCGTCTGATAATAAAAAAATTTTGGAGGATTCACCGAAGTAAAATTTCGTCTCTTCACTTAAGTAGTTATTTAAAATAGTGTAGAGCCTCTGTATGTCAGAATTGTGAGACTTGAGGCCATATTTTTTGTTTCCCTTGAATTAGATATCAGAGGCCTAGTTAGGTTTATTTATTGATATTTTAGAGGTATATGGACACCTTTACAGCTTGTTTTTTTTTGTACAGTTTAATGGGCTGTAAATGTTACGAGCTTCTTTTCTTTTTCAGGATTTGTTTAAGGTTGAGTTATAGTTATGGTACAGGCACAGGGGAGGATGAGTAGCTTTGTATGTTACCAATGATGACATAGGCAAACCGACTAAATCACCTCATGAAAAAAAAACATCGCCAGGCAGGCATTGGATTTGAACATTCAGCGGAACAGAAGAGTTGGTAGAGTTTCTTTCAGTCATTTTTTGCGGGTTGAGACTGGAAGCTTTTAGTGCTAGGAGATTTTAAAGTTCCCACACTCCCCCTCTCTAGGAAAAAAAATTTCTGAAAGAAACCTTGATATAGGGCGGTCTAACCAATCCTTGAGGACTGTGGGAAGAGAGGCAAGGGCTTACGTGGGCTTAACTAAAGAGAGCTGGCCAAAACAGAGTCCGGTGGGGAGGTATAGCTGCAGCCCTTTACTCCTGGGGGAAACATGGGAACTTAGTCAGAAGTAAGTCACACATCATTATTAGAAGTGCAGTCAGTGGGTTTAGGAGTTTACGGGTTTGTTTAGTGGTTGTTTCAGTGGCTGCGGCATAAATGTCAAAGCCGCCCCATCCCTCTTCTATAAATCACGGAGAGGACGACAATGAGGTCAAGGCCGACAGTGTTTACATCACATGACCGTGACATCAACAGACGTGTTCTTATCTCTGGATACTTTTCTCACATAAGCCCATACACATCCATTTTACGGTAACAGCCTTTTGCTACTGGCCCGATCAAATCAAACAGTAGTCCGTAAAGGGGTGGTCCATAAACGACGTCACTCCTGGGAAGGAGGGTTGGTGTCGCTGTGTGTCAAAAAAGGAGGGTTCAAAAACTGCAATTTTGAGGGGAGGGGGTTGTGAGCTGAGGTTTGACGTCATTTTAAGGTTCTGGCTTTTTAATGCAATGGGTGAGGATGAGGACTTTTTAAAAATCGTGACGTCATCTATGGATGACCTCTGAATCAAAGTGGTAAATTCTGAACTCACTGTATAACTACTCTCACTCACCGTGACTTCAAATTATGAATGATTTGTGTTTGAATGTATTTATGCAAAGTCTAGACAGTTCTTAAAGTAACTCATTTCTAATTCACAGATAGCGAAGTGCAACTTGTTTACCACCGCCCCCTCCTCTCCACACAACCAAACCCCCTCATTACAATATAATCCGAATTATTTTAAAGATTTTTAACTATATATATATATATATATATATATATATATATATATATGTGTGTGTGTGTGTGTGTATGTATATATATATATATATATATATATATATATATATATATATATATATATATATATATATATATATATATATATATATATATATATATATATATATATATATATAATCTACAAATACAATTATAGCCTCACATCCTGGTATCGTAATTTTACATTGACCTTGTAGACAAAAATGTAAGCTTTTGAGCACTTAACCTTCATTGATGGACGCGGGGGTGCTTTTATGCACTACCTTTGCCTTTGTTACTGATACAATTCCTTCATGTCTGTCTACCAACCTAAATAAAGCTCTTCATAATCTAATCACTCGAGCACAGCCCAAACATTGGATGCTGTCGTCCGGCTAATTTAGCTAGCAAAGACAAGTATAACATACTGCACATCACACATTACAGCAACAAAAACTTACCACTCAGCATAACGCCATTTACCTAAGCAAAGCCCAAACAGAACATTCTGCATAGGGCTTATTACCCAATCAAAGCCAGAGTTTCTTCCAGGCATCTACCGCCCCCCCCCCCCCGAACGAAATGGAATTTATACAGTTTTGACAATTTCCGCTGACAGTGTCCGCACCCCCGGAAATTGTTGTCCGCCCCCCGAAAATTTCAAGTGCACTACCGGAGAAAAAAGTCTGGAAGAAACACTGATCACAGTCCAAATCACTACAGCAAAGCCCAAACGTATCATTCTACATAGGGCTAATGACTCATTCAAAGCCCCAAATCACTTTAGTAAAGACCAATCAGAACATTCTACAAAGGGCTAAGCACCACAATAAAGCCCAAATCACTTCACCAAAGCCCAAACATTCTGCATTGGGCTAATGACCCAGGCAACTCCTCGTCCAACCACCTTACATTACCTTTCTCCTGTAGCCTCCTTTACAAAATCTTCTTTACGTCGATTAGATCAGCTCCAATCTACCAGAAAACTCACTGACCTACATTCAACACCTTACGTTTGCTCTTTTATTTTTAGCAATGCCCCCCCCCCCCCATTTCAACTCCCCCCTCCCACCTGTGCTATTATTTTTCATTCAGGTATTTGAAAATATCAGGTAACTATTTTCGTTATGTGAGAGCCGACGCCACAAGTTTTCCTTGAGTGGTTGCTTGTGTTCGCAGTGGTTCGCAGTGGTTCGCAGTGGTTCGCACATTACCGCCCCACAGATGAATGGAAGAAGAACACACCTGTTCGTTCAGAGGTTGCTTTCGCGTCCACCTACAAGGAATCATAACTGCAAAAAAAACTAGAAATGGATAAAGAACTACAAAACTATAAATGGTCACACAACTATAAATGGTCACAGAACTATAAATATGCAGATAACTATACATTTTAATGATCACACAAATATAAACGGTGATACATCTAAAATGGTCACATAAGTATAAATGATCACACAACTATAAATGGACACCGAAGCGTGGATATGTTACACACGGTAACAAAGTCTGTGGCTGTGGTCAAGACCAGTGTGAGCAACTCGATCTTGTACTTGTTTCTCTAACATCCTCCTCCCATGGTGCGCCCCCCCCTCCCATGGTGCGCCCCCCCTCCCATGGTACGCCCTCCCCTCCCATGGTACGCCCTCCTCTCCCATGGTGAGCCCTCCCCCCCCTTCCCATGGTGAGTCCCAACCCACGTCTTTCTTTTGTCGTCTCTGGACCGGTCACCTAATTTTAAAGTAAACTTTATTTAAAGTAAACTTCATTTAAAGTAAACTTTATTTAAAGTAAACTTCATTTAAAGTAAACTTTATTTAAAGTAAACTTCATTTAAAGTAAACTTTATTTCAAGTAAACTTTATTTCAAGTAAACTTTATTTCAAGTGAACTGTATTTCAAGTAAACTTTATTAAAATTTACTCCAACCCAACTCTCTCTCTCTCACACATTACAAATGTAAAATGAAAAGTAACTGTTTAGCGTGTACACGCATTAAAATATTATTTGAGAAATATAAGCGTAAAATTGTTAACTCCCAAAAGTAGCAGAAAAAAAGGGAGTAAACCTCACCACCAGGTCAGTGGTTGTGTCCCTGTAATCTAGTTATTTCCAGATGCCGCATTACCTGCCCCTCCCACCCCCGGTGCATCCCTGCCACCCCCCTCACGGAACACCTCTACGCTCCGCCTCCCCCTCAGTAAGCGGCTAATGCCCGCTTGTCTAACGGCTTGCAGGCTTTGTGGTTGTCATGGCAATCTGGAGACTTGTACTGCAGATTCCTGCAGTATACCTGGCGCCGTGGTACACCTCACCTGACGCACTGACTCATCGAATCACTGACTCACCGAGTCACTGACTCAGCTAGTTGCATGGAAACGAGA